CTCCAAATTTTCCAATGAAAATTGCAATTTAGGATGAGGTTTTGCTGTTCTTCAAAATTCATTAAATAATATTTGCATTATATTGGTACGGAACCGAAATATTAAGAAAGTTTCAAATGAATGTACTTTGGGCGGCAATAGATGAAAGCTGGCAAAAGTATATGGCAAGTTCGTATGTTTAGACGAGACTAAAGGAAATAGAAAACGGAACGGAATAGAATTCGGGAACGTCTGCGCCATTCTGAAGTATCACTAGTTACTTTCCCGTATACAAACGTTAATTTTCAAACGCAATTTTCTCAAAAAAAGTCTGCAATTTTTTTCTTCAAAGTTTTCGAAAGGTGGGTGCCAATTGGATTCTTTAATAAAAAGTAAAGTTCATTTCGGCGAATTGTGATGTTTTTTCAAAAATTACACAAATATATTTTTTTAAGATCTCTCGCGCCGGAAATATTTCCAGCCATTTGTATTTGAGAGTTGAAGTGCTTCAAATGACTTTAAATGAAGTTTTCGAAAAGACAAAAAAAATTCTGTGAAAAAGTGCTTCAAACTTCGAAGTTACTGTAGACCTAAAGCGTCATATTTTTAAAAACAGTGTCAAATATTTCAATAAAATATGCCACTTATGACGAGGTTTTACTGTTCTTTAATATTCTTAAAATATTTTGTCTGACCTACAATAAGAAAACCGAAAAATTAACAATAGTTACAATAGTTGAAGAAAATGTACTTTTGGCGGCGATAGAAGTCAGCAGGTAACAGTTTGTGGCAAGTTCAAATAGCTAGCCGAGATCAAAGGATATAGAGAACTAATAAGGGAAAGTCTGTACCTTTCTGTTGCACCACTAGTTTTAATTCCCACCTAACGGACGCTCATTGAAATAATAATAATAATAATAATAATAATAATAATAATAATAANNGTAGTAGTAGTAGTAGTAGTAGTAGTAATAATAATAATTTTCTCTGCATCACGGCTAAAGATGTTATGAGTCACCTGAATATAAAATTTACTCCAGGTTGCAACCAGCTACCTAAGGAGTAGACCCAGGGACTGTCAGTGCCTCCAAAAAACACTTTGCGCAAAATGTGGACTGTTCCAAATAAAGCAATTTCTACACGTTCCATTCTTTGGAATGATGTGGTAGGTTGTCCAAGCTGTTACACAAATTTTGCGGAACAAATTCCAGAGCTCTGATGACTATAGGTACGACCTGTGCTTTTAGGCCCTGCATTCGGCTGATCTCGTTTTCCAAACTCTTCCATTTAAGATGTTTCTCTGCCACCTTCGTTACAATGTTTGGTCATTTCGACGTTTTTCGACGTTTGGACGTTTGGACGTTTTGATCGCAAGGCACAGCTATATCTACAAGTAGACACGATTTTTCCTCCAAATCCCGGATAACAATAACCGGTTTGTTTACCGCTATCGTGCTATCAGTTTGAATTTGTTGGTCGTTCAATATTTATAGAGTTCAATAGACGTCACCGGTTTTGGTGAGTATTCGTAATACTTGGAGCATGTGTTTGGAACTTCGAGGGGCAGATACAGATACAGATCTGCCAGTGGAGGTAACTACTCCCTTTGTTGCTTCTTTTCGAGTATTCGGTCTTTGCTAGAATTGGAAAGTTGAGACGATATGATCAATGATTTCTGCTTGCTCATGGCAAATGCAGCATTTATCATTTTGGTAAATTTTGAAAAGCGCTTTATCATAATGTCATGCTCTCGACACCTGATCTTGGACTGCTATTAGAACTGCTTCCGAGTCTGACCCTGCTTCCGATTCTTCTCTTTTAAAGCTACATAAATAATTGATCTGCACCTTGTCCATTATTTTTTAGATAATGTCCAAGGAGAGGTTTGTCTTTCATTAATAGTTTTTGTATCATATTTCATGTTAAGTAGCATCAAAAGTTCAGTGTGTTCTTCTTCGTGTTTTGCATAGTTTTCTTGGGAATGCTTCGTGCTATAGTAACAATGCCTCTATTTCCCATTCTCCGATCAGATTTAATGACCTAACTCAGTGGGTCATCATGAGTACTGACTACATACTTTCCCAACCCAACTGTTGCATTGTGTCAGGGGGCTTCAGTTTTTCTAAGGCTCCTTCGTCTTTCCTTACGATACACAACGTTTCTGTACATCAGCTCGAGGGTGGTGACGTGATGCATCGTGAGCAGTTTGAGGTTTTTTCTTTCCATGATTCGAATATCTTGCTCAGTCCAGTCCACGAGACCGAAACTGTACTTGACTACGGGCATCGCCAAACTACCAATTGCTGATATTTTATTCCTGGATTTCAGATCGCTGCTGGACAAGTCTCACTCTTCTATATTAATACCTGCGAATACTCTCTTCCACTGTGTCGTTCGAGATGTTCTCACGTTCTTCAATGCGAATTACCTCTGTTAATCTGAAAACTATAAACAAATTTTTACTGCTTCCTTTCCACTGTATGTGACTTAGTACTCTACGATTTCATACTAGCCTTGGAAAGCTCAGTAAGTCTACGATGAAATTGATAGATCTACAGGATCTTCAAAATCCAATCGTGTGGTACACTGTCAAATGCCTTCTGGTAGTCAATACAAGCCATGCTTAAATTACGTTTTGGTTTCTTCACATCATTCTAGATAACTTTATTTAGTAGCAAGATTTCCTTACAGCCATAAAAACCTTTACGAAAAACTTGTTCAACTTGCAACAGATGGTTCTTCTCTGGGTCTACACATTTTGTCAGTGTCACATTATGGTTGCAGATATAACTTTGCATATTACTGGCAAACAAGTAATTGGCGTGCAGTTCTTCGCCAAAGACCTGTCTCTCGCTTTGGGTAGCAAATACGTGATGCCGCGTGTGAGCCATTCCGGAAATTCCTTTGGGTTTTCTAAAATTTTCTTAACAGCCTATGCTAGATGATAATGTATTGCTGTTAATTTCTTAATCCAACAATTCTGGATCTTATGAATACCGGGGTATTTCCAGTTTCCCATGTTCGTAATTGTTTGGAAGAGGTTCTAGTGTGAGAATTCGTGAACATGTTCCACTGTTTCCTCAAGTTCATCAGCAGCATCAACTCCAGATTGATGCCGAGACGTGTCCTTCTTGTAGGTTCTGCTTTCCTCCTAGATTTCTGCCCAAAATGCTTCGTTGACATGTTTTGAAGGCGTGACAGCTTTGCCATTGGGTTTTTGAGTCACTTTGTGATAGAAATTCTTCGCGCCTGTTCCAAGCAACCGATTCTGCACACGAAAATCTGCTATTTTTGTAAGTAATGCGCTGGGCATATGCTTGTATTTTCTATTTTAGCTTCTCATCAACATACTTGCGTCATTTTGAATTAGGTATTTTGTTCGACATGAAATATGTTTCATTCAACTTAAAGGTTAGCGTTAAGAAGGAACCTCAGCTAACAGAGATATTTCACGCCGAGTGTTGGCTATTCGTTTCATACATTTTTCCGTCCGTAATGGTTCGGGGCTGCTTATTCTGTTTAGCTGACGGCTGTCGGTGTTCATGGCTGGCCGCAAAATTATCCGAGATACCAGTGATCCAGTTGCATACATAATGTAATTGATTTTAGTAGTATCTAGATCTCTACCTGGAGTCTGTACCACCCCATTTAAGACAGAATTCGTTTTTTATATCACTCTCTTAACCTTAAAATTATCGTATCTTCTCGTCATGTGGGTAGTTCAATCGAAGAACATATTCCACATTTTCCTAAATCACAGCAAGTTGTTCCGCTGTGAATTTTCTACTGCTGAGTATCGCCGTTGTTTGGTAAGCTTCTTTGAATCTAGGGTAGGTCTTATACTTGGGTTCCGCTTTCCCCATATCTTGAAAATTATATTTCTGGGCACACATTTTCTACTTTTGCGTAGTAAAAACACCATATCACCGTCTTCATTGCATCCCGTGTCCATCTCTGACGATGGATTCAAGCTACTACCGACTCTAGGTCCCTGATACATACATCCATGGGATAGCCAGACATTGACAAAACGACATTGGCTCGGTTTCTGAGCAGGAATGATAAAAAAAGGCATGTTAAGATTCATTACATTTCTTGTTCTATCTATTTTGCAAATTGGTTTTAAGGGAAGTTTCATAGGAAGCAAGTTCGAGTTTGAAGACCACACATAACCCATGGATTATTTCCTGTCATCCGTTACTGCGACCTACAGTAGCCTCAGGACATACCCCCGCAGTGCCCAGCATGGGGACGCCTCGATCACTGGTCGGCATTACTAAACCCTACGGGATTTTCACTGACTGTTGAAAGCAGTCTCCTTCGCTAGCTAATGCAAGGTTCGGACCTCCATTCTAATTAGTTGCCTGGTGTGCCAACACAGTTTCTCTCCTGTGCCCTCCATGTGCTGACAAAAGGAAGTGCAAAGGGTCATAATACTTCCCTCTCTACTTTCCGCTGTGTATGCAGCTGCCCCAAACATTGAGACAGACGCTGCAGCCGTCCGCTTCGAATCAGATGCTCCGGCTTTGTTCGACGTGCCTCTTCCTCCAATTGTATCAATTCTCCTTTCTTTTTGAAAATGCCGTTGAGGCTCTTTTCTGAAGTGCTTCATCGCTGAAGTACTCATCTTCAACCTATTCAGCAAGGAAGGCCCTTCCTGACCTGACATAGGTCTCAGGCTCATGGGGGTACTCAAGCTCCATCACCAACTACAAGAACACTCCCTAGGTGGAGTTCTTCTTCGTTGTTTATTATTATTATTATTTATTATTATTATTATATTATTATTTATTCATTCACAGTTCACTGGTACATAAGATTGTAGTCATACAGATACAAATACATCAAAGCATGACACAATAAAATTCAACAGTATGTAATTTCTAGAATTATAGACTAATACAAAAATTTAACATTTATAATATTCATGAAATAAAACTAAAGTAATTAAAGAGCCAACTAAACACTCTCATCACTATTATTATATTTCATTATTATTATTATTATTATTATTATTACAGTTGCATCGTGGATTTAGATGTTCTCTCGCGTGACGCAGATGCGCTGGCTGATGGCGGCGCTGGTGGCGTGGGCCGCGTGGGCGGCGCCGGGGGCGGCGGCGCTGCGCGTGCTGGGCGTGGTGCCGGTGCCTGCCAAGAGTCACCACGGCGTGCTGCAGGCTCTGCTGCGGGGGCTGGCGGAGAAGGGGCACAGCGTCACCTCGCTCGAGTTCTTCCCGCCCGCGCCACCCGTTCCCGACAATTACACTAGCGTCCTCCTCGACGACGCCTTCATGGACGCCTTCAAAGGTGAGGCTACTTCAGTTTGGTAGCCACTTGGCCCACTGAGTGTTAAGGAATAGTTGCAAATGCTTGTATCCGTAACGTGGTGTGCATTTCTCTGTAGGCTACCCCACCAGAAACAGCTCGAATACGGTAAAAGTCCAATTTAACATTTAAAACAATGTAAATTATTGTGCCCAAGACAGCTTTTTTTGCAATAAAAATGTCTAAACTGTAATAAGTACAGACAGTGAGAGAAGGAATTCTGCAGCGCCGACACTTTTACGGAGAGAAAGGTCACAGACGGGGTGGCGGCGCAATTTCAGCAATCCACATCCACAATTTCAGCTTGACACAGAGTACAAAATCAACACACAGGGGAGAAATCAATATTAACGATTCGAATGAAAGATTTTTACGCTGATTCAGCAGAATTGAACATCTCTTTCAGTGACTGAAGTTCCAAAGCATCGATCATTGAAATTGAGAGTATAAAGAAGATACAAAGAATTAATAGGGAGTTTTAGCGCTGCGCGTAAGTAGCGCGTAAGTAGCGGCGTTAAGCATTAATAGTCACGTGACGGACCTTGAAGTCATACCGTCTTACCTTAGGCCTAAGGTACGACCTTATACTTTCATAAATAGTTCAAGTCTGCGGGTATCTCGACGGTAACCTTCCAAGCGGCAAAATGGCCGCATAAAACAGAAAAAGTTGAATTTTTCCAACTCTGGTAAACCGATTCTCGTATGTGAGACAGTTACAATTATTCCTTGCCAACTCCACAACGCTGGCAAGAACTAACGGGATATGTTGGATAGGTGACAGAAAAGAAATTCGCAAAAAAGGAGTTCAAATCATATCTTCTGGATAGGTTATGTCTTATGCTCATAACGAACGCTGTTGTAAGGTGTTTCCTATATTTTCAAGAAAAGCACATCCAGACTTCATACTCATCACGGAGGGCCACAAAATCTAAATCTCCATACACAATGAACATTTGTTATTCTATTGACTCGTAGCGTGTTTTAAATGTCTCACCACTAGTCTACATTCTTTGATATATTATACAATTTCTCTGTTCAACGCTTGAAATGTTTCCTTTATTATAATGCATAACGCAATGTCGCAATTGCTAAAACTCTTCTGAACGGTGTTCATTACGGTTGTATAAAAGCGTTTGTCACGTGATCAATAGAGTTTAAGGATATCTCCTTACGCCTGACGCTAAAACTCCCTAATAGTAGAATTGGTAGTAGAGAGGTCATTTTCAAACTTAACAAGAATCGAGATCGTTTCCAAATGACAGTAAGAACAAGCCAGCGTTTCAAAACATTTCAAATACTAGCAAAAAAAAAAAAAAAATGAAAGAATTGTTTCACTACAATATCTCCAGATAATTAATTCATCAGATTAAAAAAATGTAGAACTTTTGTTATTATTGCAATTACTCAACTTCTCATGTAAATTAAAAAATAATAGATAGATAATAACAGTAAAAATGTCTACATAAATTACTTACTAAGCTCTGTGTTCCCCCTTGACAGCAATGCATTCCTGTGTGCACGGACTGACAAAACTGCCTAAGGTGGTTTTTGACGCTATATTTTACATCGATGCTTTGGAATTTCAACCAGAAGATAAGTTTATTTCTGATGAATCAATGAAAAAAATAATTCTTTCTTATCGGTATTATTGATGTTTGTTCATGTGTCTGTCCTCTCAAGACCATGAGTTGTTGTAATTACACCTCCATCCCCGTTGCCACAACGTCCCCCTCCCCTCTCCCCATAACAGTTCCTTCCTCAAAGACGACGGTTGCAAGACCTGCTACAGGAAAAATTGTTCGATTAAATTTAAAATCACATCATAAAATAATTTTATATACAAATTACTATCAAACACTACCTTATGATACATCATTGTTGTTCTATTTTTATGATCTATCTATTACTGGTGACAAAAAAGTATTGTTTCATTAAAAAATAGAATATTAAGTTTCTCGAAAACTGAAATTATTTCAAACAATATCTCTACGGCATATTATTTGCTTCATAACTTCACATTGTTGAGCGGAAATTTCATTTCGATATCGTGAACCGTTTAAAAGTTGTGGGGGTAGCACATAGTTAGTCGGGCCACATGATGTCAGTTCTGGTCACGAATTATTTATAAATTGTCAAAATTTAGAAAAGGGTTAATTGTTTCTTTCTGTTAAATTATAAAATCTACAGTTCTATATCGTTAGGCGCCATTGAAACCTGAAATTGAGGTTGGTCTCGAGGGTAAATTTTCTGGATGTGGACGTCAGGACTTTTTTGTAGACTATAAAATACCTAGCGGAACCATTCCTTTCCCATAGAACTGCTATATTAGCTGTTGTATACTCGATTGTTATTGGATTGCTTAAGTTACAGAAAAACACTGCACCGTCTAATTCGTATTCAAGGTTTTACTTGAACTAACATTAAACTGTACAAATTGCGTCAGGTAGGAAAACAATCTAGCATCACCCGTATTATAAAGTGGAGAGTCAAGGCACAGCTCCGAGATGGCGCCACTGTGCACCAATGAATATGAAGAGATGATGAAATAGCGTGTCCACATGTTTTTTTTTTTTGTCATGACATTAGCCATTTGTGTCATGACAAACCCAATAGTATATTTAATCGAACTAAATTTAAAAAAGAAACCTTTCTTCACTACAAAAAACAGCTAGACAAGATTTTTTTAGTTCAGTAAACACCAACACTCAATATTAGAATAATCAATCACTAGGAATAAAACCTTTCAATTTGAATGTCTGATTTAAAGCAGAACTGTAATTTTCTGCAAACAAATGAATTCAATTTAAAAACTATGAAAATTAGCTGTGATAAGGTTTCTGATTTTCAGCATATTAATACTGTTAACTGACCCAAAATGTTCATGAACATTACAATTGGGCAAATTAATATAACTTTGTAGTCAAGAAAGCAACAGCTTTCAACATTAGAATAATAAATTATTGAAGATAAAACCTTTTTGCATGTTTACTTTAGAGAAGAAATGTGATTTTCTGAAAACAAAGAAATTAAATTTAATAATGGTGAATAATAATTGTGATAAGGTTTCTTACTTTTGCACTTCATCATACTAATACAAGTAGTCCACTGCTAACTGCCCCAAAACATACACGAACACTGCAATTGGGCAAGTTATTTAGAAAGCCATGAACTTCACAAACCTTTTCACCTATTTACACATATGCAACAACAAATTAACAGAAACTTTCTGACATTGATACAATCTATTACTATAGAGTTCCAACATATTTAAAGTATCATCCAAAGTCAACAAGATTCAAAATAAATTATTTGTTATTAATATATCGCAACAAAAAAATCTACATCTTTTTTAATGCGTACTTTATGAAACCTCACAACATTGATGAGTATTTACGCAATAAGGAAACAACAGTCTCAAATAACAAACCTGCATCCGAAATGATGTTGAAACCAGCTGCAATCCTTGGCCCCTCATACTAATACTCCTCGTGCAAGAGATCCATTAAAGAAGCTCCACCTCCACCGCTCCTCGAATTCCTTTTGGATGTTTCCGTGCGCCGGATCTTCTGCACACGCAGCTTAACTAGCCTCTGCTGCGTCTGGTCGTCGGGAGTTTACACGTGCAACCAATACTTCCCTCGATGGATTGCATATACAAAATTCTTCATACGATCATGTGCCAGTACCCATACTTCCTACAGTCCTGGCAACCGCTTATCCGGAAAATACTTTTATTTCTCGCAATATTTAAAAATTAACCCGGAAATAAAAAAAGCAGTCGAATTGTGTAAATTGGATGCTTTTTACTTTCCTGAACACATACGTATATTCGGAGTAATATACGTAACATATGGAAAGTTAATGCTGCGGAAAATCGATTCCGAGATTTCAATGCAAATACGTTTCTTCCTGGTACCGAAAAAGTGTATTTTTTCAAAATATCCACCTGTCCGTCTTCTCTGTCTGTCTGGTGGACGGGCCCAAGCATGGGGTAATGTTTTGTGTCGTGCAGTACACGAGTGGGCCTTCGGCATCGAAATCCCATACTGATGTCTCGTTGAATGGATCGTCCGCTAACAGTTGTTGATGGTCCAGCATTGAAATCTTCAGCAATTTGCGGAAGGGCGGCACTTCTGCCCCATGCAATGATTCTCCTCAGTCGTCGGTCCAGTTCTTGCGCGATCTTTTTGCGGCCGCAACGATGTCGGAGGCTTGATGTTGTACCAGATTCTCGATATTCACGGAACACTCGTGAAATGGTCGTACGGGAAAATCCAAATTTCATTGCGACCACGGAGATGGGGCACCTCAACTAGGCGTGCTATTTTTCCATACTCAATAAACCCATGACGACCAGGCCTGACTCGAAGCTCTGCGAATTTGAAAAACATTCACTGATTTTTTGGGGTACTATACATGAAGTCCCCCTGACCTTTTAAAAATTTTATCAAAAACGGCTCCAATTTTTTTCTTGTCTCTCAGGTCGTTCATATTTACACTAGCGGCGATTTCTTCACATTATTATATTTATGAGTACATGTGCTTTAAACAATGTCAAATACAGTTTCTCTAAAACTACCGTGTGCTGTGAAAACTAGCTCAAAATTTCGCATTTTCAAAAACATTCAAATGCCATTTTCCCAAAAATGGCTCAAAATTTTTTCTTCATGCATTCTGAACGGATAGTGGTAATTGCACAGTTTAATATGATGCAAAGTTAATTCCGGTTGTTTTTATCAAAAATTACACAAATGTAATTTTTTTGAAAGATCTCTCAAGCCCTAAATATGCACATATTTGTAAACACTATTGTATTTGTGAATTAATATGCTTCAAATGAAGTTTTTTGAAAATTCAAACATTTTCTGTGAAAATGTGCTTCAAATTTCGAATTTACTGTAGCGATTAAGAGTCATTTTCTTAAAGACCATTCCGAATTTTTCAAAGAAAATAGCCATTTAGTACGAGGTTTTACTTTTATTTAATGTTCTTAAAATAATTTTTCTGTTCTACTATTAGGAAACCGAAAAATTAAGATTTTTTTTTTAAATATACTTTGGGCGGCGATAGGCAACAATATGGCAAGTTCGAATACCGAGACCAAAGAAAATAGAAAATTAATAGGGGAAAGTCTGTGCCATTCTGTAGTACCACTAGTTCTTCCGTCATATTACTAAAGTTCCACAGAATGTTTTCACCATGAATTTACAAATAAAAGAAAGTACTCTCTTTGCACTGCACAAAACGTCAGTGTATACTTATGACCAACAAAAATATTAAATCGTTTAATGCCGTGTAAAGTTTTCATTTGTTTTAGTTACTTCCATGAATTTCACTAACCTTTGCGTGAGTTATTTAAACTTCCTTCTCTTAGGAGAGCATGGTTAAGGTGTGTTTATTAGACGAACTGTTTTCTTTTTTTATTCCACGAGCAGACCATGGATGCTCTATAACAGGCTTTCCAAAATATTTTCTTCACCCCTTCCCTTTTAAAAGAATGGTTAGCTTCATCGTCCCCGTTTATTTGATATTTTATAATATATAGTATATAAAAAATGCACGGAAATAAGGAAGGTAACGGTTCGACAAAGAATATAAATAAAAAAATTGAAAATTTGTTAAATAGAGTTATATTTTATTCTTTTTTGAATTACTCTTTTCAATGTTTGCTAATATCTCGTAATTAAGTTTTCAGAAACAGAATCATGGAATGAATTTGCACATAAGTTCGATTTTCATTAATAGGAATGATGTGAAATTCTAAAAGAGGAGCGAATTCGTAATTTATTATTTGATTTTTAGAAGCATTATATAAGAAACGAACTATTAACTTCATTAATATATTTTTTAAATCAATAAGATCCTAATCTCGGTGTTGATTATACCGGTCAGTCGCCATCAGCATATTAGATCATCGACCACCTATCACCTTGATTGTCTTTAAAATTTCGTCGACCCACAGGAGGCGGTGGTTACGATCGCGTCGGCACCCCTTACCTACAAGGGAATCTCTATGAGAGAATTGAGGAAGAATAGGAAATTTCTTTTTGGTATTGTAGATCAGTCACAATATGTGTTGAAAGCTCTATGTGTCGTGTCATTGTCGTGATTGAAAAAGTTGTTTTCAAGATCTGTGTTCAACGCAAAACATAAATTTTCCCTTAAGATGAGACTTGTGTTCCATCAAACCATCAAGTATATTCACACGATCCTGATGTACTATTTATGTACCCCCAGACTAGCATTGAACCGCCGCCATATTAGACTGTAGCACAATTTTTCGGCAGGCCAGTTCTGTATTCAGATTGCGTATACCGTCAGAGCAAAATGTGTTTTTTTTGTTTTATTTGAAAATGTGATTGAATTCCAAATACCTGATCCTTTATTTCAAAATTTAATATTTTGATGCGATTTTCTTTATTTACTAAGAATTGTCTCCGGCCATGATAACTTTTCTATTCAACTATTGCGCACTATACTAGCTCTACTTTAAACTCTTTTTTATCAATTCCTCTCTCAGTTTCCACGCTCTAATTTTGGGGCCCTTCTTATTTTTTCGAACAATAAATCGTTTATCTTCTTCACTGAACGCATTTGGCCCTCTTTTTTTTTTACGATTTCTCACTGTTTTATGACTGCCATTTAGCTTCAATGTTGTACGTGTATTATCACTTTTTGCGCCAACTCTACCTAGTGTCTTCAAAACAAAACAAGTTTTCAATGTGTGAGTTAACATTATGGGGAAAATATTAGAAAATCTTCTGCCTCTTCTTGATGTTTTCTTTCTTCTATCTGCCACACCAATGTAAGTTTTCCTGAAACATCAATGATTCCTGTTTCACGAAGCCTTAACGTCACGCAGCGCAAGGCGGTCAATACTTTTCGACACCATGCACCACGACTTTTTATCTCCTGTTATATCAATGTTGCTGACCTTGGTGACGAGTGTAGATTATTTGAGGGGAGGGGGGGGGGCAAAACCATGAATAAATAGACTTACGAAGCGCTGTCAACAGGGTCGACTCGATACTTGAAACCTGAGACGTAGATTTCGAATGTCACTCCGTATGTTGGAAAATCCTGGCATTTATTGTCTTGTTAATATTTCTAGACATAGACTATGTTAATCATTTTGTAGTGTATTGAAAGATGGTCGATATATCTACACACTCTCGTTTTAAATACCTTTATTTCATGTACAGAAAAACATATTTTGTGTGGATGCAATTGAGGTCATGTACAGGTATATTGAACATATAGAAATGGTTTTTTACAGCATTCCAAATATATCTCGTGTAATTATCTGCTGAAGAAAAGCAGACTAAGAATACTCTTTTTTAAATTGTAATCTTGGTGAACCATCTTTAAATTCAACAGTCTGACACGTATATAATAAAATGATTAATAATTGAAATTATTTTCATTTTATTTAGATAAAATGGAGCGACAACTCATGTAAAACTTAAGTTATGTTATACATGATTAGTATTTAGGTGTCTTTGGACTCCTTACAGTCACCGTATTTCTTATGTAGTATTTTTTTTTTTTAATTCCTGATAAAGGCACCAATGTATGAGCCGAAGCGTTGTCGCGTAATTAATCCGAGCTGAGGGCGCTTTTGATGTAAATAAGTGAATTAAGCTTTTTACTTTCTCGCTACTGTTTATTTAAATTTCATTGTACTCGTGTAATTTTGTTGAAATGAAGGATCGTTAATCCAGGATACGGCTGAAATTTAAATCACTGCTCAAAGCTCAATACATTACTCTGTTTGTACTATTTATTTCATTTGTTCTAATGTTTATTCAGTTCATTCATGACCATAAGTCCTAAAGTTAACGATTCACACGGTTTCGGTGCGGTTGTTGTAAATTACATTTAGTTGTCTAAGCCCACACCCGCAGGTTCCTTCAACCCTTTCGACATGGCGGACATGCCGTACGTGATGCGCGTGTACTTCCTGTGGAGCATGGGCTCCGCGATAGGGGAGGGCGTCCTCAAGCAGCCGGCGGTGCAGGCGCTGGCGCGCGGGGAGAAGGGCCGCTTCGACGTCGTCATCGTCGAGTCCTTCTTCAACGAGGCATTTTTGGGACTGGCGCACATCTTCGAAGCTCCTATCATCCAGGTGGGTACGAGAAGGATTGTTCAGTTGTGGATCGAAATATTTGTAACGTCAGAGAAACAATGGATTTAATTTTTATTGATGTAATTGAGAAAAAATTAAGTATCAGACATTATTTAATGCATTCATCGTATTTAAATTATGTAATTTGTATAGTTTCCACTATTTTTGAAGTTCGTAAAACCACGCTTGTACCAGATCAAAACGTTTTGCAATATGTTATTAAGATAAACCTATTTCATCGTTATTGTATACTTGGAAACGAAGGATGAAAATAGCTGCTGACGTTCTGCAAAATTTGTAAAACGAGAATGAGTAAAGAGACTTGAATTCGACTATTTATAGAATATTACCACACACTTGCCCTGTCATGCAGGTGTGCCCCTACGTGGGTTCCTCGTGGATGTACAGTGCCACTGGCTCGCCATCACCTGCAGCGTACGTGCCGGACCCTTTCCTTCCGTTCAACGACCGCATGAGCTTCGTCCAGAGATTCATCAACTTCGTGTTCGGCGTATTTCAGGTATTCACCAAACACCTTACACAATGTATATATCGAAAAGATGGGTCTGAATGATATCGCTGTTGTGATCTCTTAGAACTAACTGAAGGGATATTTTTGTTCCAAAATGTCAAAAATTAGTAATTGAAATTTGTTTTGAAAATTGTATGGTTTTAGTAATTGAAAATTGTATTGTTTGATTTTACCCTGAAGAATGGGTTAGAAACAAAACTAAAATTCTTAAAAACCTCTTTTGCCTATAAACCCTTTAAAATGTTAACAAAGCTATTGCCGAGTGAACACTATAATTTACATGATATGTAAGTGACAATCATGACACCGAACATTTTTTTTACATTTCCAAACAGATAAACTGTGACATAACATTTGTCAACCTTTGAAGAGCAATACTGCATTATAGATTAATAATTTGCCATGAGTAGTAACTCAATGGCGTTAAGTACGATGAAAATCTTACACTGAAAAAGGTCTGAAGTGATGTGTGCCTCTGGAATTGTTCGCAATAAGACATATAACAACCTTTCATTAACACCATTTTATTTCTTTATTTAGAAACTGGTAACTAATTTATGTAAAATTTTATTCATGTTCAAGAAGCAGCCATCTTTGAAACGGAAAGTGATCAACGTCTTTATTTTTTATTCTACGAAACAAACTTCATTTCACATTTTCAAACTTCATTTCATATTTTACGACGTAAAATAACTCAAAAAGGTCCCTACAACCTTCTCACCAACAGAACTTTCCCAAAACATGTCTTATCTCCTAGTAAATTCTTCCTGGGATATAACCCTTGAAACACTTAATAAAGCTTTCAATCCATACAAAAATTACTTTTATTTTTTACTGATACTTTATAGCTTGTTATTGTTTTCAATACGGATTTCGATGGGCCCTGCATAACTTTCCTGGATCGAGGGGCCTGTGGTTTCGAAGAAAATATGAACACAGTTGAATGATGATACTTGTCTATCATTCCCTAAGGGAATTATGAAAGGGAACTATAGGAGGGAAATATGAAAAGACAAATCGAGTCATGTTAACATCTAGTTTATTAGTAAATAAGTAAATCTGGATCAATAAATTTAGGTAGCAAATAAAATGATCTGCGTGGCACGGCCGTTAGCTGGTTCTAATGACCTCGTGTGACAAAACGCTTTCGCAAATTCTTTCGAGCCAAAAGCAGTATACATAATAATAAAAATAATGATTTTTTTAATATCACTGTAACTTCCAGGTAAAGGACCCCCATCTCAATAAGGTTTTCAGTGCAGTTTTCCATGATTCATCTAGCAAATGTTGAAATGGTCCCTTGTTTTGCTTCTGAACAATAAATATAGATGTTGTCCTCTCTCGGTGGCAGTAATAAATTTGTATATTATGGTAAACTTAGAAATAGAGTTTTATTGTACATATGCTACAAATTTTCTGATGTTATGCACATACCTACCCGCTGTTTTAAAAGTGTTCTAAAATTTTAAGCATTAAAAATTATGAATAACTAGGCAGTCCCCTGTTATATCTTATAGCCTTAATGCCAGACGCCTCTTGCTGGCCACCAGGAGCGTTAGTGTGAAACGTATGAATTATCCTCACGTTAAAGCTTTGCAACTGCAACTTGTTATACTAAATTGTGGTTTTTGTTTTTATTATTTTCTAATATTGCACGCAATGTCGCGCAAATACTACTTAGTATAATGTACATGACTTTAACTAGTTATGGAAAAAACATTTCACATGATGGAAAAATTCCCAACTTATATTTTGTAATAAGAATGAGGCGAAACAAATTTCGAACTTTTGACATTTTTGACAATTTAAAGTTAATAGTGAAAACCACCTTTATGCAGTGTGAAGTGAAAACCACAGTTATAGTGAATGCCACATGTATAAATTTATTTTACTCTATTCTTTAAAAAAAAATGAAAATGTCACAGGAGCCTATTGTGAAGTACCTACAATTTATAGAATGTGTTTCAAAATCGCAAAGCTTCGCGTAGAGCCAGATCGACACGGGAATACCCAATTTCAAAAAAATCCTACGTATGGTTTAGGCGTTAGCGACGTTCACAGGCGCCTGCCGGCCGGAGAGTCACACGGACGGACAGACAGGCAGACGGATGGACGGGCGGACAGACTGGCGGACGGACAGACAGACAAGCAGACGGACAGACAGACAGGCAAACGGACGGGCAGACAGGCGGGCGGGCGGACAGACAGACAAGCGGACGGAAGGACAGGATGGCGGACGGACAGACAGACTGGCGGACGGACGGACAGACTGGCGGACGGACGGACAGGCTGGCGGACGGACGGACGGACAGACTGGCGGACGCACAGACTAGCGGACGCACAGACTAGCGGACGGACAGACTAGCGGTCGGCCGGACAGGTGGACGTCCGGACAGGCGGACCGGCAGACAGACAGGCTGACAGAGGATGGACAGACTTTTTGATAAAAATCTTTTACAGTATGAGGGCCCCCAAAACGTGTATTTCCTTTGTCATGTCGAAATCGATTTTCTGCAGCAGTACATAACTTTCTCTTTGTTACTGCGTATGTACGTACTTATATGAGAAAGTAACTAATGGTGGTAAATACTTGCACAAACTTTCTCGTACTAGTTACTTTTTTAATGTCTCTGGTGTGGGCTAGTTTTTCGGACTTGCCACATACTATTGCGAGCTGTAATTTGGAGCCATTTTTAGAATATATATTGTACTTAATGTACAAATGTAATGATTTTAGAATGTACAAATGTAATTTTTTGAAATATCTCTTTCGCTTTTAATTTCCATCGATTTGTATATATTATTGCATTTGTGAATGAAAGGGCATCAAATGACTTTCAATGAAGTTTTTCGAAAATTCAAAAGATATCTTTGAAAAAACTTGAAATTTTGCTAGAGCCTTAACAAGTTTTTCTAAAAAGGGGCTCAAACTTTTTCGATTAAAATACCATGTAGGACGAGATTTTACCCTGCTTTAATATTATAAAAGTAATACATCGAATCTACCATTAGAGAACCGAAGAATTGCCGAAACTTCAAAAAATGTATTTTGGCAGCGGCAGAGCAGTCAGAAGTATGTGACAAGTCCGAAAAGCTGTGCCGTTCTGTAGCACCACTAGTTGCTTTTCATTAAATGCAAGCTGATAATCTAATGCTGCACAGTATGACCTTTTTTCTCACATTGAATTTAAACATAAGTGAGAATATTGTACGAATTTGTTTTAATCGCCATGATAAATACAAATGTTGTGACTAGCTACAGCAGCACATACTTTTCGTATTATATCTAAAAGTTTTCAGTTTTTAGAAATTTGCAGCTTCAAAATTTGCAGTTTTCAAAAATTAAGAGAGTTTAACGAAAATAAGACCTGCACCATTATTTTAAGTGTCCTTTGTTCTAACAGGTGAAAAATTTACATTTTTAGAAGTTTTCGAGATTTTTATTTTTTCTGTATACGTACGTATATACAAAGTAATATATGTAGTACAGGGAAAGTTATGTATTGCTGTGGAAAGTCGATTTCGAGATTTCAACGGAAATATTCCCCTGACACCGAAAAATGTCGTTTTTCTCAAAATGTCCATCCGTCTGTCTGGTGTATGTGAACAATACTAGCGCCTAAACCTTGCGTAGGATTTGTCCCCTGAACCCCTGTCCATATGTCATGAGTCGAATTTCTGCGATATTTCTTGTAAGAATAGAGAAATATACACTTATAAAAGTGTTTTAGGTTACATTTTCACGGTTTACTCTGAATTTTCAAAAATTTTAAAAGTACGAGATTTTTTCGGTGTTTTTCTACTACTACAAAATTGAAGATAGAGAATTTTCCTTCAAATAAAATTTGTTCTCCATAGTAATTTCTTTCATTAAGTACATTTTTTTTAAAAAAAATTGAGTAGTTTTCGCACAATATTGCGTGCAGTATGATTTTCTCAAACACCGCCCCAATTTTTGTAATTGTTGTTCAAAATCTCAAAGTTTTGACTCGAGCCAGATGAACAGGGGTTTCTTCAATTTGGAAAATATTGTACGCGTTAGTAGTGTTCACAGACACCAAAGGGAAGGACGGATGTTAAAGAAAAAACAACACTTTTTGGTATCTGCAGACCCAAACACGGTTTTCTTTGATGTGGCGAAATCTATTTCCTGCAGCATTA